CGGTTTTCGATTTAGACTGACTTCATTTTGTATGTCTATTTAGACACCACTGACAATAGAAGGGAGAAAAATATTATGAGGAAATCTGGACTAAAAGAGCTTTGATGGCCAATCCTCATTGTGCAAGCGTGGTGATGAATGGTCAAACCTCAATTGCTGGGCAACTGATAACTATGGAACAACTCTTCATGTGATCCAAAAATAGTTGTTCCGGGTCTGGGTGTGATGTATGAATTTGTATGTTTATATAAGTACCTACAACTGAGGAGAAAATCTTACAAAACAAGACTTATCTTCAGTCCAGGTTTAAACCATTGAGTCAGGTTTTCTATATCGAATCTTATTCTCACCTACCTTCAATTCAAAATACAACAACTGGTTCAATGGTTTAGACCTAGACTAAAGAAAAACCATGTTTTGTAATAAGGCCTTTAGAGTTCAACGTTTGTTTAAAAAAAGAATATTGGAACCAACAACGTGAAGAGTATTAATCAATAGTGAATCTACTGTACCAATACTCGTCTAATTGATTGACTAATAAACTTGGCTTAGATAATAATATTAATTAAATGATCTTACAATAGATACTGTGTCCTAACCAGTATATACATACACATACATACATACATACTTCTAGCTATTAATACACATGATCCATGCTCGTCATACTAGACCAATCAAACAAATTAATTTTCAACTTTATTCTCCGCAAACATAGTCGAAAATTCAATACACTTTTAAGGGCTATTTACCTATGTACCGACGATGACTCAATCAGGTAATATGGTATGAACCACAACAGTCACAGATAAAAAGCCTTTTCATACGGCAAGACTAATGAGGTCAACGCGCTACAAATTTTAAACGCTATGAATAGTTGGTTCTCGGAAAATAAGTGACAATGTGCTTTAACAAAACGCTTAGTTATGTGTGTATGTACTTTGAAGGCATGTTCATATATCCTAATTATGTGAAATTATTCAGATATATTAAATTTTACTTTTTATGAATTTTATTATGCGTTTTTTTATTCTTCTTCTTTAACTGACGACAAAAACTATTTTTTCTCTAGCTTCGGACGCCATTGTTTGACACGGCGGCCAATGTGATTCATTCAATCAAAATTGAACCATTTGCCACCAGGATAAATGTTACATCTTTGAAGAGCATTAACAATAGTTTTTGCAGTATGAATAAAGATTAAGGTTTGTCTGTGATTCACTTCAACTTGGAAGCTAATGGAGTTGTAAAGTTCATTCTACATATTTCTATGACAACAGTTTGTATGGCAAATTTGAAAGACATGATCAAAGGGATGTTAAAACTTAGAAATCTGACCATAAAAACCAAGTTGGAGATGAAAATATTGAATATGGTCATGGTCGTGGTGGCCCGGAGGTTAAGGAGCCCGCTCCTCATGTATGATGGTGTAGGTTCGAAACTAGGCAAGTAACAATGTGACTTTTTCCGAGTTATATGTACTTTCTATGATTATTTAGACACCACTGACAGACGTCAGGAAACCTGGACTTATAAGTTTGAAATCGCCAACCCGCATTGAGCAAGCGTGGTGTTTAATGCTCTAACCTTCTCCGTGTGAGAAGAGGCCTTTGCTCAGCAGTGGGCACTTATAGGCTGATGATGATGATATTTAATAAAAAGCAGAACAATCCATATACGTAGTATAAAACACTAATCATAAACTTAACCGCTATACACCCATCCTAATCCTAGCAGACAAGAATAAAACAACAGTTACATATGGGAGTAAATTCTATCTCCTCAGAGAACACTACCGAAATATTAGCTCCGGGTCCATAAACACATCATAAACTGAAATACAAGGAACGATGAATCTTTAGACTGGGAAACAGCAAGTCATATCTCACTTTAGAAATGCATTACCCTACACTAGGATGCTAACAAAACAGAACAGAATATAATGTGTTCACTCCCTAAAGTGGCAAACGACGATGCAGACGCTAATAAAAATATAACACCAATTTTCTGACAGTTTTGTCCCAAGTCCTGATATTGTGGCGGCCTGGTGATTAATGCGCCCGAGAGTTCGAAAATTTTCTGCAATTTTACAATGAAAAAAAATGAAGAGCTCACTAAAAGGCTAATGATATGTCCTATATTGCATAAGGGACCGGGTGGTCTTCAGTCAGTTACAGTCTCTTCTTGTCCGACCAAGAATGAGAGAAGTAATTTGATAATATTCCTTACATAAAAAAGTCCCATGATTTAAAGTACAAGTTTATTCCGCAATCCACACCCCATTTCACAGATTGAAATTGTTCAATAAACCGCTACAATACTCTTTTATAAGACCAGGAAATTGAATCACAAATGCCCTTATTAGCGAAAGAGGAGCCCAGATTTTACAAGACGTAGGACGTATCACACTTGAGAGCTAGATTCAAGGAGCAACGTGCCAAGCTTAGTCAAGAGGCAAACTTAGCAATTTAAGTCTGGGATACACTGACCTCGTTCGATATGTAGAAGTTACTGAGATCGAGCGTGGTAAAACTTCTACTGATAACGTACGTGCTAGAAGGAAGATGGCGCTAACTAGATCACATTATGTACTCGGTTTAAAACATAACTTTGTACGTGTGAAGCCTGTAATCGCTGTTTTATTTCCTGACTTCGTAACATTCCATTTTAGGGTTATCGAATTGCGATTCTATTTTGTGAAGCGGAGATTTAATTTTTTTTTGGCTCATAGGTCATTAAGTTGTTTGTTCTTAGCTTTAGACTGAAATCCTGATGATAGGATCAATTTACGATATTTTAATCACATAGTCACGAGGCCTTTGCTATTGTACAATTCCATCTTAATCTCTCCAGTTGGTTTTCTTGTAAAAAAATCAACAAACACGCCTCTTGATTGTCAAAACTTCCGCGTTTACAGCAGCAAAATCTCGAATCAACGAAAATTAGCTTTTCAATGTTTTCTACATGGAAAGGGACAACCAAAAACAAAATGGGGAGGCGTGCCAACAGCCTAAAAACACGATTGTACATAAATAATGGTACTTTGCGAACATTTGCTCACAAACTCCATAACACATCGATCATGGTTGACTCTTAAACTTTCGTCGAGCTACAAATTGACAAAGAGTCCGTACATTCTGTTCTTTTACTTTTTTAGGGGTCCAAAAGTGTCAAGACTTAGAAGCTAAGGTTATTCTGTCAAACCGTCTGTGTCTGACACAAACAAGTGACAGTCACATTTGAAACTTAACACTTGTCATCCACAAAGCGTAAACCGTAACAAAAACAATACAAACGGTGTTTCTACGGTAACAATTTCGAGTATTTTCTGTCGGTTCGGAACCCTTTGTGAGCTACTAACTCACATTCACCAGTTTCTTTAGTTATGGAAATAAATTATTCGCTAAACAATGGACGGAGATTGATTTACGTTGGCCACATCTCTTGGGCCAACATTTGGACGAAGGGTTGCCAACATTTCGTGGACTCTAGCCATAAAAGAGGTTGAATAACATAGTCGCGTAATCTGTAGCTTGAATGTATTCAACAGGGATCCATCCATTTCAATATTCCACAGCATAACAGGTGTTGCAAACATTATGGATCACATTTTACTTGTCAGGCGAAATAAATATTTTAGCGCTGTGGTTTATGCGGAGAGAAATAACTGGCATGTTTAGTATTTTTGTTCATATAGACTTATTTATTGTACCGTGTACTCGTGGTTAGTATATATGAGGAACCGCTTTAAAGGAATTTATGTTGTTAATGATAAATATTAGCGTGCATTTGTTTTTGCTTAATCCATAATCCAGCCAGAAGGTTTTAATTCCATGCTTCGGCACGAATGGGTCGGCTCAACCGGAGTGATACCACGGCCTCACATAAAACCGGCGTAAAACAACCACAGCGTTGTGTTTCGCCGTGTAAGTGAGGTTACCGGAGGCCCAATCCTTCCCCTTCCCAGACCCTTCCCAATCCCTAAATCTCCAAATCCCTAATCCCTGAAAGGTCGGCAACGCACTCGTAACTCCTCCGTTGCGGGTATCCAGCGACGCTGATTGCTTACCATCAGGTAATCCGTCTGCTGGTTTGCCGACTAATTACATAAAAAAATCTAAGCTCGGAAATCGCGTTAAACACACCATTTTAATACCAAAGAATTTTGTTTCGAACATCATACAAAGCTTCCAAAATACATATGTTATTTGCTTACATAACTATACATAAACTCCGCGAACATGACTACGTACATAATTACCGCAGGCTTGTAATTATTTGAGTTAAGTATTAATTTTGTAAAAGTAAGCGGCGGGTAATTATACGTACATTGACGTCGCGAGCGAACGTGCCACTTCATAACGCCATTTTGAATTTTATTCTCCGAATAATATAATTTTTATTTATTTAATATTGCAACATACTGATTTTAAAACTCTAAGAGCTTGTATGAAAGACCCGGAAAATAGTCGTTGGGTGTATTTCAGTGAATGTATTGCCTTCAGCGTTTCGTATATTGTAAGGAGCTTGTCGCTACATTTTACACAATGCGCTACCGTTGATATAATAATACATTACAATGTATTAAGTAGTTAAGTAATGAACTTGTAGGAACTGAGATTTACAAGTTTCTTACTAAAAAATTGGACAGACGACGATTATTAGACAAGTCTTTCCATTGACATCAATAGGAAAGAGTTTGTGTGAAGTTTATGTCAAAGTAATATTTCGTAGGCCGCATTTACGCACAAGGGGATTTCGCGTGAAGCGTCGTTCGTTCATTGTACAATGTACATTGCCGCAACAACCCGCGTCATCTCCCGCGCAAAAACGAACATACGAACATTATGAGCAATGTATAGATTCAATGCGTCATGTAACGCGTCGTGTCTCAATAAAGGAGACGTTATAGTCAAAAAGTTGTCACTATGTCGTATCTTTGTTAACTTAAATTAATCTGATTGGTATTGATAATTTTCATTCGTTTTCTTAAAAGTTACCTTATTATCCTTTTGCCAGGAACAAACGCCTTTTTTATCAGATATCCTGCATTTCAGAAGAGCATCTTCGCCTGGATTCACCTCCGTGTACGTTGGCATTTCAATGAACCTCTGTACTGCATCTGTAATAGACGAAAAGAGAACTTAGTTATAATTTTATTATTTATTGAAGGAGTGAGCGAGAGAGATAGATAGAGAGAGAAAGAGACTGAAGATATTTCTTTTCTTTTCCCTTTAAAAAACAAAACATTACTAAAAATACGAGCAGTGGAAAAATTTGTGACAAGAGTGCAAAAATGCATAGCACTCATTTTAATGTCAGGTAGGATTGGTCGGCTGGTTTTTAGTCAGTAAAAGTCTGACAATCCGATTTTATAACTTCAAAAACAAAGTACTTGTAATAGGTACTTTGTCCTATTGAAGACTGGGCCACAAAATTAAATTTTCAACATTACCATTTTGTATAACACAATCAACGACAGTTTTGTAATTATAAAAAATGCGATTATGACATACTTATGGTTTTTTGGGCGTCTAAAAGCAATATGAATAGGAATTTAAAAAACGAGTGATTTTTGACTAATTCAGGTACCCTTGTTGCTAAAACTAACAAGAAGTCAGAAAACAAATGCAAATATATTTCGGTCAAACTGCAAAAGTCCGGCAAGAATGATTGATTGACTGACAGAAGTCCCAGCCTACACTCTACCTACAGACTGTTGTGAAATAAAAATCTTTCAGTTCAAATCCATTCCGATCTGGATTTGTTTTGCTTTTTCCTTTTGTTGATTTGCCAGTTTTTCGTTACTCTGCCTGAGCCGTCTGTGAGTATTTCTAGTAGTTTACAGAGATTACTCCACTATGGCATATACTTAGGTATATTTATATTTAAACTGCTTTAGAGTTGCATTTATAATGATATTCGTTCAGTTCATCTTAAGGTGTTTAAGGATAAATACAAAATTGAACTTCTTTCTAAAGTTCCTTAATCAATCGGTTACTAAGATAAACAACACCATACACAAGATTTACAGAACACCTTTTTCTTACTTTGCAGTTTCAGTAGAAGTGAATGAATTGGAAAAAAACTACACCTACTTTTCAACAGCAGCGTAAGAAGCTTAATCCATACTTATTCAGTATCATCCAAGATCTAACAACATTATTAGTATTATTAGTTAGATCGCATTGACATCACAAGAGCTCAATAATTAGGAATCAACGTCCCAAGAAAATGTAATAACAAAATCCCTGAGGTACACCCCCAGCACTAGTTTGCAGAAACCGACCTATATTCGGGCAGATTCGGGATATTTCCGACCGACATCGCGCCTATGTAACGAGCCTGTGGGATGCTCAATCAAACGTCAGTCCACTCACTGAATGGAGGACATCCAACATATTTTGTACGTCCAAGATATATAGGTAAAATGCAGGATATTTAGAACTTAATGTATATCTTTATCTTTTTAGTTGCAGATTTTTAATAATCTATTAAATATTTACCTATATTTTTATGTTATAGGACGGCATACGAGCAGACTGATTACCTGATGGTAAGCAATCAGTGCCAACCATAGACACCAGCGACAACGGAGGAGTTACGCTGCCGACCTTTTGGGGTTAAGGAAACGAAACATACCGAAATACAACGAGGCCGTGGTATCACTCCAGTACGAGTTGAGCCGACTCATTCGTGCCGAAGCTTGGCTCATACTTTTTCCACGTTTAAAAAGAAACCTTATTGACTGGGGTAAAATTTGCATTTTCTGATTTAATTATTACTAAGAATCTCCCGAAAATATCCTTAAGTCACTAGCGACCATTCCAACAGTTCCACAGTTCAAAAAGTGTTTTATTAAAAATGTACCAGTACCGTTTGCCTCTGTGTACTTTACCTGGAAATTTTAATTAATAAAAATAAAAAATGGCCGAACAAAAGAGTTTCAATACAAACGTTCCAAGATCTTTGTGTCGTTTATTTAATTAATTAGCCTTCGTTATTATTTAGACGGTTGTACGAATAATTTAAATTATGTAGGTAGGGTAGGTACAGCTTTGGAATTAGTAGACTCCTGAATGAAATGCGCCTTGTACTCTCGTTTAATTAATAGATTACATATTACATTTACTTCCAAAGTAAAAAGCGTGCCACGTGCAAGTTACCTTTAAAACATGAAAGAATTCAATGTATTTGGACCTTTTTACGTGGACTTTAAACAGGCTGTGGACAAATCGGTTTAAAAAATATGTGACGGCAACAATTAAGGAAGATTCTTGGATACATATTTTTGAGTGTGGATTTTAGCAAAATTTTAATGGAATATTTTCATTGTAAAGAGATCGATATTGCCAATTCCGTGTATAAACTAGGACAAAGTGAAACCAAACCGATCCTTCATGATTAAATGTTTGACATTAACTAAAGTTCAATTGACACATAAATGACTGATGGTTTGAAACGAAGCATTGTTTTCACCCACGTTCGTACTATTTTTACATTTCAACACGGAAAACATTACGAATTCATAAAAGGAAATGATCCACGGTGCGTTAAAAAAAACCTATAAAACAGTACATTCGTGCCTGATACCTAAAATAGAACGATTTTCGGATTTAAAAAAGAGTATTCCAGTCGTGGGTATTTTTAGTTTTGAGCCTAGTTTCCGATTTTGAATTTTGAAAAATCCACGTTGATTTTAGTTCCATTTTTCGAAAATTGAATTTGAATCGTATATCCAGTTCGTGTTTTCATTTTAAATTCCAACGGTATTTTTAATAGTTCGAAGTTGAGTGGCCATTAGTCGTGATTAAGTGGTCATTCACAACTTCACATGTATATTATTGGAATTCCCACTTTTTTCCAAATACTCTTATATTTTGGAGTTGAGTGGCTGAGTTTATGAAACAAAAATCACTACATTGTATAAAACAAACACCCTATATCCCTATGAATGCTTAATTCTTTAAAAGTACACAAGTGATTTGCATCGCGTTTTTTAATAGATAAAGTGTTTGAAGTGGAAGGTAAACATGTGTATAATAACATCCATTTAATAGTGGAGAAATTTTGTATTAGCATTACACCCGTGCGAAGCAGGGTCAGTTCACTAGTCCCCCTCGACAGTTATGCCGTTATTCAGCAATAGTGGCCGGTAAACACTAAGATAAGCAATCACTAATGATGTCAACCTGTCACTAATTATGCGTCAATTGTGATCTAGAGCCTACAATTTGCTGAACAGGTCAAATCTGTAGGTGCTAATCGTTACTTAGTGCTGAATCTCACTTAGCGTTCTATTTAGATACTTAGGTACATGTCAAGCCAGACCTGTATGAAGCCAGACCAGTCTAATATGAACTTGCCTAAGTCGATAAGGTACGATGAAGTATGAATTAAATAATGTAAACTGACTAAGAAGAAATAAAACAGATACCAATTTTTATTAGGGACATTTAGGCAGGTATTGAGTCTTAATTAGATCCTTTAGTAGTGCTATTAAGGGAAGAACGATAAGAACTTGGTTTTATCCTGATTATATTTCAGAATTAACTTATTTTTACATTATAATTGTCGTAGTGTTCATAGCTAAGAAAGTTATTTTTTGAAATGACGAATTCTCTACTTGTTTTAAGTAACAACGGACTCCTCAGTACCTCCTCCTCGTACTCCCAAGCAACGAGCGCGTCGCGTCGTGGAAACGTCAAGATGGCAACTGATCTTATTTTCAATAAAATTAATTGTAGGTTTTTTTTACATTTTTTAATACGCCTCTGACAAACGTTCAAGTAAAAACATTGATGGAAATCTGGAAATATAATTCCAACCGCCTAACACCTTTCAACCTTTCGTCTTCGCTCAGCATAAACGCCACCTTCTCCATAAAAAAATACTTTTGCTCAGCAGTAGGCATTGAAAGCTAAAGACGATAATATTATAATGAAATTTCAGGTCGTTACCTAATTGGATAATTAGAGTGAACTTGTACTTGTAAAGTTAGGCGCCATATTGAATTTACAAAACATAAAACTAACCATAAAATCAACAACATATGCGAGTATGCGCGTATGCGAGTATTGACGCCGAAAATAATTATTTGGATACCTTGGTAGGCTTGACCAGCAGACAGTCTGCTTGTGACCACGATCTGTGCAACCTGGTCAAAACATAAAGCCTACCAAGGTATTCAAATAATTATTTTCCGCGTTAATACCCACATAACTATATGTTGTTAATATGAAACGCGAAAGTTTAAAAGTTAGTATAAAATCCACTGAAATAACAGCGGTATTAACGAACAACTTTGTATTCACGGTAAACCTGATACAGAGAGAGTCTTCACTCTTCACTCTCAGTCTCAATCCTTTGACAAACATTTCCATTGGAAAAAGTAAGAAATAAGGACCAATAGTCGATATAGGAAGCGAGAGGATTCGAGATTTTCAAGTTGTTACCACACACGTTGTGTCAGATTAATTAGCTTTGCGGTAACAGATTTATTTATCAAAGGATTTTTTACTTTATTAATATCTGGACTAAGTGTGAATTTGTAGGTAATTTAGGTACTTAACTTATGATTTTTTTGTGTTAGGTAAAGAAAGACTTACTATATGAAACAAGCTTCTGTCGCGCGGTTTCACTCGCTACTCGGCTCCTACAAATCGTAGGGTCATGTTTTAAAGTCTAAAGTCTCCCTCGATAAATGTACTAACAAACACAAAAAGAGTTATTCAATTCGAACCAGTTGTTTTGGAGATTGGCGCGTTCAAATAAATTATATGTAGTATAGATTCATATCACAAAGATGAGAACGTCATACATGATACACAAAACACGAATCTGCGTGAGAATAAGGCTCTATCTTGAAGGAGGAAAATATAAAATTATAGACAACAACAATTCATATCTTCGTACCTATATGACAAATAACAAATTTGTCCCAAAACACACGTACTTATTCAATTTAACCGCCCTTTATTTCCAAATGTCTAATGAACATCCCATATCGTAAGTTGAAAGCGTATTTGCCGCATAAAAGGGTAGGTTGGAGTCGTCAGGACCCCACGGCACCATTACAACAGTTTATGAAGATTACAAATATTTCACACAAAGCGCTAACCG